ATGCGACGTTAATCTATCATACCGCAAGTCGAAATTGGTCATTTAACCGCCATTCGAGCCAGTAACAACGTTATGCACAATTCCACCAATCAGCAATTGCCATATATCATCCTTAAAATATTAAGTATACATATTTAAATGTAATTTTATATGGCGTTTTCCACCGGAATTAATTAAACTGCACATTTTAACCATCTTAAACACTGTTTTAGTTAGTGCTACAGCTGGCCCCTATGTGATTGTCCCATTGTCCGGTCATGGTCATTGCTGTACCTGTCCTACTTTCCAGTGCGTGACGTCACCCATCGAATGCGATTATACCGCCTGAGAACAGATGATTTTAATTTGTTTTGCAAACATTAGCAAGGAGTTGATATAGAATTAGTACTAGTTTCGAGTTGTTCCTTAGTGTGGTTGATGGAAGACCGTCGTATGGAACGCTAAAAGGTTTCATCTCGAATCAGAACACTTACTAAATTGTAAACCAATTTCCACATTAATCGCGTTCGTTAGCGCGTTACTTGCAAATTATGAACGCGTTCTACAGCAGCCCACCCCTGTTTGACCACCAATAATTGTATTGGTATATTATTATTAATATTATTATTATTATTAATATTATTATTATAATAATTATTATTATTATTGTTATTATTATTATTATTATTATTATTATTATTATTATTATTATTATTATCATTATTATTATTATTATATCATGGTGCTTATTGAAGATTGCAAACTTATAGCATGTTTTCATTATGATTTGTTTGTTCATGGAAGAGAAATGATGAGGTCCGGTAGCCTTTGCGATGTAAATGCATAGGACTCCTAGGTCTATTGAGACTCGCAGTAAAGCACGAAGCTTGAAAAAAAAATACCATTAATTGTCTCATTTGTTTATATCATGCCTCTTCATAATGTGATGAATTTATCTCGTCATGTTATTACTGTAATCAGGAGAGGCAGCGTTTTTAAACTTTCCCCGTGACCTACATTCACTTAACCCATTACGGTAGTTCATACTTCGCAATGCCAATGATAATACATCGTGTAACACCCAGGTGCGAAAATAGATCGAAGACAATACAATGTTTGCAAGTTTTATCGACAGTTCTACAGCCTCCGGGATAGTGCAGATTTCGGTTTTAATTGGCCTAGAAATATGGAAAGTCGTTGCCGCTTATTCTCAATCATGTTGGAATCCTGATACACCCGATTTGTTACTTATCTGTGCCGTTTGGGGTTTTGTCAGAGATCCAAATAGTAATGACGTCACTGTTAGAAAGTTGGTCACGTGATCATATGGCACAATAAAGATGGACTCGGGCTAAAAGTGATTCGAACTCCACTGTACGTAATTTGGTACAATTGACCTATATATTATAGGCATGCATTTGAGCGATATTAGGTTAACGTTCAGAAGGCATGGAAATGACATTATCGCATTGGGCTCGAATTATGCATTTCATATGTTTCCATTAGTCATACAGTATTTCATAATTCTTTAAGTATTGTTATTATTCGTATATCTTCTTAACGTGTTCAAATTTGCCAGATTGTTTAAGCCACATAAGCATACCTTTATACAATGCACAATACAAAAAAACAGCTCCAATCCTCAGTGTCAATGCGGTGTAGTGAATTCGCTTTAATTTTAGTCTGAGGGGGCCGGTGGGGCGGGTTTCGAGCTCGGAGGTCGTTATTAAAACTCGGATCGGTGAAGCGTGGGGTACGAACTCACGAGGGCTGAATTCGACGTGTCGCCGGGATAAACACGGGTAAAAATATTCAAGCCTCACGTGACCTTTCTTTGATATTTTTTAGTGTTTTTGTTGTAAAATTTAAAGTTTCTATTCTCATTAACTTTTTAGATCCATTCTGTAAGTGGCGGGTTTCCCGCTGTTGAATGTGATTGTAAATAAATAAATATAAATAAATAATGTCCGCGGAGACAGATATGGCTCTCCAAATGCAAGCGAACGGTATGGACCTTAGTATCTGTAGAATGGTGTATAAAAGCCATTCCACAGGTATTAGCTGTATTGTGGACCGTCCCTCTACAAACTAATAGTAAATCAAGAAACGAGAACCGTCGCTCGCCTTGCCTGAAACGTATCAGTTCTTCTTTTGATATCTCTGGAATTTTCATTTCCTTGAAGGGAATATGTTATTTGTTCATAGAGATACAAGTAGAGTAACCTGTGTATATTAAAACACCCATCACGTACGATCATGTTGCTCATTTAATTAAATTTAGTAGCCACTGGGTCGGAAAGACATCAAAGAGTAGCGAACAGGTGTACACGGAAATATGAATTCCATAAAATCGCGAAAACCTGGCAGGCATTGCGATGCTATGGTCAGGACACTGGAAGGAAGGCGGACCGCGTAGAGGTGTTACCAGGTGTCTCAATGGTATAAATTAACAAATTTAGAAAGTAGGCAGTACAAAAAATAAAAGTCTTTAATAAAACTATCAATATTTTGACCTAATATCCACTGCATCCTAAGGGGATTTTTACTGGACGACCAAAACTGACCAAACATGCCTTTTCAAACTGATATAACGTACCGTGTAGGCCTAGTGATGTGCTTTATTCCCGTAGTCGAAGTGGATCGTAGACTATGTCAGGTCCCGAGTAGTCAGCCTAGTTGAAAAGCTGTGTGCAATCTCAACCCACTTACTGTATCTTACCTTAATTGTAAAAATGACATATTTTAAAACCCGAACTAAACTAATGCTAATAATAAGCTATAACTGAATTCTGGTTCATGAATGTAAGTTCTAGGCCTCGGTTGTCATGCTCGCAGGTATTAATGTAAAGTAACCTAAAGTGTGTACTTATATGTACAGTACATCACAACCAAATATGTCTTATTGTTTTATTGATAGTTGTGTCAATAAAATATAAAGTAACCTAAAGTGTGTACTTATATATACAGTACATCACAACCAAATATGTCTTATTGTTTTTATTGATAGTTGTGTTTTTCGTAAGCCAACAAGATTGTAAACCTGTCGCAGCGTTTCAGTTGAAGATAGATACGTACGTATGAGTTCAATCATTCTGTCGACAACCCGTATCCAGAAACACGTTCGGACTACCGAATAATTCTACATTCATATACAGTACCGGTACTCGTTGTCAGCGTTATTAATAATGAAACAAGGTAATCCCTCACTTGGAGTAACCTCTCAATCGGCAACATCTAATACATGAACTTCGGGCAATCTTCAGATAATAATGGACTAATAAGGCGTTTTGCCCTTAAGTTCATGTCCAGATTTTTTTAATTAAGCTCATGATTTTTGTGATCGATGAAGCCATGTTATTGCTTGTGGCTATCACTGCACACGAGCTTGCATGCAACATGGTGCAGGTGTAGACCTTAAGATATGAAAATAAAATTCGGGCATAATGACGTCATGAGTTTAGTTAAGTCATTGATAAAAGCGACTACACCAATTCTCACTGCTGCCATGGTGACAAAACAACAGTCGTTTAACGTTGAGTTATGCCTGTCTTTGGCATTGTAATTCGTGAGTTTGTAGAGAAAAAACTGATCTTGCTCAAGACTGAACCATGGAATTAACCATATGAACTCCCCATTTCCATTACGGCTACGTCCAGGTTGTCATGGAAACACATCCATCTCGCCGTGTTTTTATAAAGAACCTTTATGAGGGTCGTTCGTCACAGATTTGAATAATAATATTCGTGATAAGATGTTATAACTGAAGTATAGTAGTTTGTATTTGGGTCACGTGTCTGTGGCGTCGGCCTTATCCATGGATCATTTTTGGTAAGGAGGTACAACATCAGATGATGAATTCGAACTACAATTAGCTTCTCCGTCAACACGTTTTCTCATATATCTATGTATTTAACTAGGCCCCATGTTTCTCATTTCGGCTCTATACGTCCGGAGAGACCGGTTGAAGGTATTAGACCTTTGACGCAATGTCGGCTTGTCCTGATCAAATGCGATTGATTGTTTCTAGCGAGCCTAGCCCTTGTCGTATCGGCAAAGCATCGTACCAATATTACAGCCTAATTAAGCATTAATGATTATCCAATTAGTTAATGAGATGAATAATATGTTGCTTAGCGAATTGAATCATTATTATACAAATTACTGAATTCCCATGGTACATATGTCGGTATTATTATTAAACGAGTGCCATACCAACAAGCAATGTTATGTTTTTAAAGTAGTACGGTATATATTTATAGTATAATATAATAGTGTAGACCTCCGGAAATACCAGGAAGTAAATCATGTGAAGCCTAACAACCAGAATAAATAAAACGTGAACGATATTCCTTAATAACATTGAACCATCTTTTTGAGCAAGGCGCTACAGGCAGCATAAATGTAATTAAGAATGAATCATGTTTTTCATTGATTTCTTTATAATTAATTTAATAGTTATTATGGATTAGATCAGGTACTTAATGCCAATTAGGCCAAGGCGTACACTGTAGGCTTATCATTACGAAAAGCAAGTAGGACTAAAGATCTTGTCGTTTCAAACGTTTTAGATGATGAGGCGTATCAGTTAGTCTATTGATTGTATAGAGTGCCTATCACAGTACTTACTATACTGTTAAACTAGAAAAAGAAACAGTAATGCCTGTAACTTTAATTTACAATCTGCCAATTTCTTCAACGCGAACCCACCCTGGTGTTATTCACATTGGTCTGGTTGTATGGACCGCGCCACAAGCCGCCTGTCTTTAGTTCGTAGCCCTGTCTTTAATGTTTTGTTGATGTTATGTTCTCTCTCTCGATCTTTATGATGCAAATATTTTTTTCAATCCATGGTTTATGAATTTCTAGTATAGTAAGGTAAACATTTCAGTTTGGCTCACATGTTATTTCTACTCCATTATTTGTGTTATGCAATGGCACTGGCCTAATTGTTAAATAGGTTTATTACATTGGACAAATGATGATGGATTGAAAGCTTACTTAGGTTTATTTTTTTTTTCTAGGCTGTTCGGAAACAGTGGAGCTTGTGCCGCTTGCTGTCAACAAATTCCCGCCAATGAGTTAGTGATGCGCGCGCAGAGCAAGGCGTACCACGTAAAATGTTTTATATGTAGTACTTGCCATATACCCCTGAATCCTGGTGACCGATATACAATGGTGAACGGGAGTCCAGTATGTGAGAGTGACCACAGCAAACTGTACAAATCGACCAATATGGCCAACATGTCGAAAGGCGTTCGGGCGGGAAATAAGGTGAGGAAAAATGTGCGACAAATTGTATTATTCTTATTTCTTATTCATCTAATGAAAGACAATTCTGTAACATCAAAATACTGCTCACTATTTAAATTGAAGGGATTTTTTTTTCTTCCTCTTGATATCGATGATGCAGATAAGGATGATAGTAACAGTAATGATACATATGCTGCTGATGTCGCAACCTAGTTCACTCAATGAAATCGCACATAAACCTATAATTAAACTCTGCCTAGTTGAAATAATTAATGTACGATTTGATTTAATTTGCAATTAACTAACATTAAACACTATTTGTTCCTGTAACATAAAGCGCGCTAAGTCTGTTATCGTACAGACTCGCATTACAAATTCGGAAAATCCGAACACGTGTGTATAGTATTAATATACCTTTCCAGCTAAAATGATTTATTGTAAATAGGATTGTAATATTTTAATATAACTCGTTTCCCTCGGGCGTATTCACGCAATAATTTGCGAGAGGGCCACACAAAGTCAGCTGCGTTACACAATATTGATGCCTTACGACTAATAAACAGCAGAACGGCCAAATAAATATCTATAGGTATTCGATTTTTCTTTACGTTATTATATTAATAAAGGTTTTACAGTCTATGAACAATTAATCCAAGGACGAAAAAGACCAGCAGTGCTATACTGTATTTACAAATGAATCAACCGTGTTTTAATATCGCTTACAATATCATTTTAAAAATTATTTACCGTAATTCTGTATCAGTTGTGCTGTACATCGTTGCGGTTCGGTGGGTTTTAGCCGATATCAACAGATGCTACACTCAACCATGCTGTGTGATGGCTTAGCTTCATCGAATTCATTATGAAAAGCAAACGCAATTAGTCTCTTATACAAAATCAATCATCAATTACTGCTCTCAGAAATTAACCCTAAATTAAAGTCAGAAATTGAACCGATACGAAAAGCAATTAATTTGTATGCCAAGAATTCGATCGTGTTAGCATACAGTGCGATCTAGAGTATTTATTAAATTGGATACTATTTATTAGTATCATCAGAACAATAAGTATTTAAATTATGTACCGTGTGTAGATATTTTTCCAGTAGGCCTACAGAATGACTATTATTGAAATATTTGGCGACCCTGTCATCATCAGGCGGATTTGCCCTACGAGGAAGCCAAGGTCCCCGACAGGGAGAGGGGCGAGGCGAAAACCCCGACAAGAGCAAAGTGGACGTCGTCGGGCGTCGCTCAAAGTATTCCGAAAGTGATTTATGGGGCGAAGCCCCGAAAAATATGACAATTTAGGGGTTTCAAAGACGTATTTAATCGATTTTGTATAGAGTCTACTAATATGTAAATGTAGAAAATACATATATATATATTTTGTTCTTCCCGACGAACTGGGGAGGGGGGAACTCGCCCCACTGGCGCCATCATTCGTAACATTCATCCATGTTACTTCTTCTCTGTTCTTTCTTTCCTCTCCAATTCCACGTTCTCTTACGGTAGGGTATTCGACACTCCGGCTATCGTCTTCTGCCAGTTTCCATTCATTCATGTTAACTGTTCATTATTGTTTATTCTTCTTAGCTTCATTGTTCTTTATTCCTGATTTGTTTTTTTTTTCTTCAACAATATAATGTTTCGCTGGTTCTCCTCCCTCTCTATATAGGCTATCGGTATAGGCCTATTATCTTGCAATTGAAATGCTATATGGAACGTCTATTAATTGTCCACAACATTCCCATTTCAATCGTCCGACATCCATTAGTGTCTTTCCCAAAGGCTTCCGACATCATCCATTTAATTAAATAGGTTTTGATTTGTCCTTTGCATCACTCGCTTCTAATTTTTTTTTTCAACCATCGCTTTTTGTTCATTAATTTGTCTATCTCCTAGGCATACACTCCATCCCATAGAGTTCCATACATAAGCACCCATGTCTCTCTGATTTTGTCTCTATCCTCTATATTCCGTTATGAGAACAGCATCGTTCTGGCTAAATAGTGGTGCCAATGTGCGGGCGCTGAATCGTGGAAATATTTAAATAACCTTAGTCACCATGTTCAATTCCATCTGCTGCTCGGCTTGTGTTTCAATTAGATTGGAATGCAAGCATGAAAAAAGCGCACCGTCTTTCGGAGGAGACTTTTGGGACCCGTTGGTCCCGTGTCCAACATGACCCATGGAAAAGTGTGAGCTATTGTCTCCAGTGCACTGCCAAGTCGCCACATTATTATAAGGACCCATGAAAGTAAGAGTTTCAAGGGGTATCCGGGGGTGTATTTCTCATCAAATAAAGTCAATTCAGTCCATTTGTCCGTCGCCAGCTGCTATTGGATTGAACGCTTGGGTCATATAGGTACTATCTCCATCCAGAACTTAAGTAATGAAATTGTGTGTATTTGACTGTCTAAGGTACCATACCATCATGCTCTTTGTGTTTGCCTGCAGCAAGCAACTGTTATTTGAATATTTTAGTATACGAATTTGTGTGGGCTTGGATTTAATCTGCAAATTTGAAGAGTAATAAAGGTATAAACTATAATAGACCTACATTTCTTTAGTATAAAAATGAAACACCTGTCTCACTCTCTGGTATTCTTTCTATTTCATTTTTGTGTTTTTAGTCTTCATAATTCTGTACTTTCGTTCGCTTTTCTTTCAAATTGTGAAATATTTTCACTCGTTTATACAAATGTCTATTCGCTTTGTATAGTGTTGGCACTTGTAACGTTATTCCAGTCACACTGTACAATCATCAATCACTCGCGTTCACATCAAGCTCATTCCCATATCTTGCGTTCACACCTCAGCATGATATTAATTTCTCAATGTGCTTTCTGAATGACATCGTGTGTATTTAATTCTATCTTAACACATAATATAATTACTGTGTTGACATATTCAGCCGCTTCCGTGCACCGATTCAACCACTCTTATCAACGTAATGTCAATTCGTCATTCTAGATATGTCGTTCTTTTCGCGAAACCCCTGATTCTCCATACATGATTACCGAACTGCTACATCGTTATGACACTATTTCGAAGAGCACGGTGTCTTCGCTCTGTAACACCTTTCAGAATTGATCTAAACGACCCCTCACAATCATATTGTCGTCTGCTGTGATATCTAGGGTAACCTCCTTAACAGCATGCTTACGCCCGCGCATCGAGTTATTAACCGAATACGTTATTCTGCTAGCTGTCATCATGCTCAAGTTTTTTTTTTATTGAATTGCAACGGTTTGCTCATTTCAACATCTACTTTCATTAGAGTAGAGTAGTACGTAATCTAACCACACACAATACACGCTTTCAGCCAGTTTCTTTAATACTTCACGCTACCCATACAAACAAGATCAACTAATTGCACAACGACGAATAATAGCCGACGAAATCTGATCCCCTTTGCGTATTAGACGTTTTAAGACGCCATCACACCGATGATCGAATGAGTACATCGCGCGCCTTGTTAATGCGTATCTTCTGTAGATTTTGTCATTAGCGCAATGGCGATAACTCAATCTGACGGTGTAATTTAGAGCCACAAATTAGCAAAAGTGAGAGTGTTGTATAATCTATGGACATTCATTACCAACGCGTCCCGATTAAAACCATTAAAACCTTCGGTTTCGCGCTGCACATGCTCATGGCCAGTGGTGTCATATGCTATTAACGTTTCATTTGGAAACTACTGTAATGTTTTTAAAAGACAATGAAAGTAATTACTAAACACGAAATTATATACACGACGCGTTAAACTCTGTGATTATCGTTAAACGCAATTATGTCGTTTTAAACGCAAATTACCACTGGATGACGTTATTGATGATGAACGCCATTTTTACATACCATAGGATAGAGTAAAATGATTGTGTTTTAAAGCATATACCTAGACAGATAAGGCATCACAGCAGATTATACGGTACGTAATTGGCTTCAAGAAGACGTACCGATATCGAGAGTATTTGTTTGCAATCTGTCTAATTTTGATGTGTTTTATGCCAGTCTATAAGTGGCGGCCAATAAGGTCACTCTTGATAAATACGATAATAGTCTGCGCTCAAAGCAATCCAAGTATGGCAGTTCTACTGCACACCCATTAACACATTCCCATGTTGTGAACGACGACTAAAAAGCATAGAGAAGACATAGGCTTACGTTAGTGATAGAGGAGATTCCTAACAATTTGTCGATTTTTAAATGTCTAGGGCAACTATTGGCAGACAAGAATGCGATAGACCCTACCTGAATAAACAACATCGTGTATTTCTTATTTTTATTCAGTGACGTTTAAATTATTATGGCTGCATGTCTGTCGTGTATTCTGATAATGTGTAGTTTTCATTTTTTGAATAATTACGGTTATCACGTTAATTGATGTATTCTAAAAGCAATCGAATGCGAAGTTTCGCTGCAATGATAATTCTAGTTATCATCAGAATACTGAGCGTTTGAAAGCAATAGTGGATAAGGTTAGAAAGAGTTCGATAGGTACGAGACTAGAGTAATTTTTTAATACAATAATAATAATAATAATAATAATAATAATAATAATAATAATAATAATCCCTAATAATAATAATGATAATAATAATGTATTGATACAGACTTAGAATAATAATAATAATAATAATAATAATAATAATAATAATAACAATAATAATAATAATAATAATAATAATAATAATAATAATAATAATAATAATAATAATATAAATATATTGATACAGAATTGTTCCTTAAAGGGGGCCAGGCCAGCGCTTCTCTCATGTGACGTGTCGTTAAACGCGCGCGTGCAATACTGTGAACGCGCGTTTAGTGTCTAATGAAACTAACGCGCTACATTGAAGTGCATATCGATTGAAGAGCTCTTCATAGAGTCACCGTATCAATACTTTAATTGTGAGCCAATCAAAAATTATAACAAGAAGTCGTGATAGAGCCGCTTTAAGTACCTGTAAATGTAATTGTATTAATGTTACTGAAATGCGTGTTGAGTGGCGATCTCTG